CACTGTAAGGAGAAATTCTCTCTTGGTCACTTATGGGAGTGAAGGGTTAAATGTCTCTTGACGAATGTAACTAACTTGGTGCATCTACGACCATATCTAATTTCTATTGGAAAATATATATCAACTGATTGTCAATTTTAACTTACGTGGCACCTACAAACACGCAGAATCATGGATTTTGAGTGAAATTAGGGGCGTCAAGAGATTATTCTATAATCTCTTGAGGACGTAAGAATGAAACTTTAAAGATGCTTTGAGGAGTTTCATCTCAGTCCTCTCTTTTTTCCGTTGAAATTGTTTTCATTATATCAGTTTAAACTATTATTTCGTTTGAAGAAAAAAAGTTTAATTAAGTCTGCTTTCCTTTTTAATTTCTTTCTCATTGGTACTGTGGGTCAGATATCTCACGTGGAGCCGCTTTCACCTTTGTAACCTCCCCTTTCCCTTTCTCCACAGGCTGCACCCCCCCGTGTGCCGCTTTGATATGAAAACTGAAGGCTACTTTTGCTATACTTCTTTCTGACATATTACTTACGTGTAGAGTTACAGCTCTGTTAAGAATTATTTGTAAAATTACCATGTACGTGCTTGTCTAACGTTGCATCTGCCACACTTATTTTCTCAGTGTCAATATGCAATGATCTGATGAAAACCAGGCGGTCTGTGAATGGCTCTTTCTTATGATTTATCCAAGTACATATGCTGGACTGACGTCATATCAAAATCATTCTCTTTGTTTCGCCGTTCATTATGGAACAACATTTCACTAATGCAGTTGAGATTGTACCGCATTTGGAAAGTGAAGGCCTCATAAAAAGTTAAGGGGAACCTAGTGACTAGCAAAGGAAAGAGATAAAACCAACATGTAAGGTGTGCTTGCGAAGGTGTCCATAAATCTCCAGTTTAACTTGGGATTACACGCAATATTCACTTTGGCTAAGACAATATCAGTTTCAATAAATGCAATGCATAAATAATCAAACATCAAAATGAAATGGCTTAAAAGACAGGATATAACTTTCTTCAGTGTGATCCGGCAAATATACAATACAAAGTTTGCGTCCCTTATTTAAGCTCTTTGAAAATGAAACCGAAAGTATTAAGTGAAACATGTAGCATTTCATGTGTGTAGAAAGAAAATTTTCAGGCCATCCTCATTCCCTGATCAAATTATTGTCCTCTATCGAAAATTTTATTTTAATTTGTCAGAGGTAAAAACTAGTGTGTAGAATCCAAGCGATCTGAACAGCGACCAGCACCACAAATGATCCCTAAATTAAACGTCGAATAATCCTAGTCTGCGAATGACCTCAGAGGGGGACCGCAAATGATCCTGTTAAGTAAAATTTGGAATGATATAGGCTTCAAATGTTTTGGTTTGTTTTTTAAAAGAACACTATTAATTTTAAAATGGAAAAAACTTTTTCACCATTGTTACGGCAACAGCTGCCAGACTCTATAAGGATTTGTGGATAAGGAAATAACTCGGTACCCTTTATGATCAAATTTTGCGGCTTTTAACCTTTTTAGTCGCACAACCATTTCGATGAACGATGAAATCATAGTCAGCGCACACAAATACAAGGTTACTAAACGCTTCTCTCTTCTTTTTTTTCCAAAAAAAAAATAGAGTCTACTAAGGAAAGTATGGATTTAGATCCAATTCGTATCGTTACAGAGCTCTCTTGCTATCAACGAATCCACGACAGCTTTGGAAAAAATTTACATGGCAACTCTTTGAGGAGATCATACATGGCTAGATTTGAAGTTAATTGCGTTCATTTGCAGAGCTCTACACCCTTAGCAAGCGGTCTTCCTTTTTCTTTCAATCAAGTTTGCTTATCCAGCGTTTCTTCAGGTCGAACATGAGCAAGCGAAAAGAGAGTGCTCAGCTTTTAATTGCATGATTGAGGAAACAATTTCTTTAAAACTCAAAGCATAGTTGCTATTTTACCTTGATCTACTGACGATATCGAAAGAAAGTATAGAGCGTATGTTTTGATGAATAGTACTAGCGGTATACTACTGGTAGCACGGTTCGTGCCGTTATCTACAGCACGTGTGCTGCACCCGGTCGGAGGCAGTCTCCATCCCGATTAACATGACTGACAGACCGACAGTGTACAAAGCGTCATACGATTTCTGCTGTCCTGAGCGGCTTCCTTTCTGTACCGCTGCGTTTCTATCAAAGCACGTGCAATGTGGAGTTCAACTTAATTGAACACATCGTCGTCGTAAGAAACTCTGATCGGGCGAAAGTGCGCGAGCAAAGAAGTCACCAGAAATAAGAATCATATCACGCTACCAAAACTCGCAAGGGACCATGCGCAATGTATATGACACCGTCGAAGTTTTTTAAGTTCTTGAAAACTACAAAGTTGCGCAGATGTTGTTTTGCCAATTCATGATGACGAGGCTCTCAAAAATGTCAAAACCTAAGTGCTCCGTCAACCTTGAAAGCGATTTTTTTAATTTCTTTTAATATAGCGTGAGTTATCCACCTTTCATTTCGTCCTGTACAAACAATTTGTCTCGAAAGACCACATCGCAAAAATAGAAAACAAAACCACAGAAAAAGCTGTATACATGCGGTTTTTTTAATTTTTTGATCGTGAGTAGCAGTGTATATTCTAGATTTCTCTTGGCGAAGAACCATAACCTTTTGACTCCGTGAACGAGTGTGTGGTTTCGTTTCGTTCCGGCCTTTGAACCCATTATTTTCCCACGCGTAAGTGCTCTTAATATAAATACGACGTACAGCTCAAGCTGTGTTTTGGCGAGGCTTCGAGGTTCTGCCAAGGAGGAATTGCAAACTGTCGTCAGTTATCGAAAGAAAGAAAAGATCAACGGCCATTAAGAGGCAAGACAATTAGTATATCCGTTGTAGTATGCTTAAATATTTTAGCTCTATTCGTTTTAATTATGTCCGCATAAGTAGAGCTTATTGTGACATTTTTTCACCTCAGTTTCCATGAAAAGGTGGAATTTTTCCAAACAAGCGCGACGGTTGACGTAATGATGACGTCAATGACGTCTTTGGACGATGAGTCAAACAGTTTTCTGTTAGCAAACTGTAAATAAGCCCTATGGAAAAATAAATCGAGCGACGAGTTTGCTATTTTGATAACTAATCCATTTAAATAAAGAAGTGACGAAGAATGAATATGCGTGGCTTGGCTGTTGTGAAATTTGATCAGAACGGACGAAAATCGCGAGAAAAAACTGACTTACCATATGGCACTTACGTCATAACAGAGGTTCGCAATGCATAATAGCTAATGCTGAAGGGACCAAATTTGCAATTTTGGCCGCGAGACCAATGCAGTGACTTGTAAAACAAGTAAATTAGCTAATTGTAGGCTCATTAGTTGAACTGCAACCAATCGGAGCTCGCAAGCGGCTCTAACTTCCAAACGTATCTTCACCATTAGCAAGATTTTATGCTTGTAGCCGAAATAAATTTACGGTTCTTTTCTTCGTTTAATTTCCCGTCAGACCGAAAGCATCTGGCGATATATCTCTTGCGAGAAAAGGCTACGTCAAGACTGAGGAAATAGCAGGCTGATTGTTGTTGAGGTAGGCTTAATTTTTTTTTTCTTTCAAGGATTGCGCGCATAGAGAGCTGTAGTTGTTGACTACCGGCTTGGTGAACCGGTGAGGTCGTCGACTCAGTTCAAAATTAACCGGAACTCAGGAAGAATTTACTGACGTATAACGGTTTTATCCTGCATATTTTCCCGAAAATATTGGCGGTTTGCTGTATGAGCCTGGATGAATTTTTTTGGGAGGCTTACCAAAAGCTGTGTAAGCTGAAAGCTCTTGTTTGCTTTGCACAAAGTTTATATTGACGGACTGCCAAGGTTTGTGAGACGATTTTCTCTGTAAGACTTCAATTACCGAGTCAACAACTTCGTAGTTTTTTTTTCAGCGAGATGTAATTGTGGAGGCGAAAGCATATTTTTGGTATTTGGTGAAATATTTTCGACTGCAGTAGATAACTGAGTCTATTTTGGTAAAACATGACTTGAATAGAATATTTGATTAACACGGAAGCTCACAATTTTTTTGGCTATGGTGACCTAAAAATTATTTTACTCTCTCTTGACTCAGCAAATGTTAATTTTTCTAACGTAGAGTTTTGTTTAAAGCTATGCCAGCGATGCCATCCAATCTATTTTTCACCATGAAGTTTCTTTTCCCTGTAAATTTTCCTGTTTACCAGTGTTCTGCATGCTTCAGCAATGTTGCTAGCCGAGGCCAGCTTGCGAGTATCGAACCCCCCCTGAATATTAATTTTATGCCTTATTTCCAGGGGGAGGATTATAAGCGGAAGTGAGATCACTATCAGGCCTCTCGACTGGTGTTCACATCACGTGGTCAAGGAAAATAATGGCGGACATAATGGTCGCTTCCATGAATATCATCAAATGAAAGATGTCTTGGAGAAAGTCCTACGATTTTACTCCACGAGTGGCTGAAAATGAAGTCGATTCATCTGACAGCGATTCTGACCCGGGACCCGAAACGATTAAATTGTACCATCGAAGAAAATCAACAGTGACTGCAGTTAAAGCGAGGGTAAGCGACCATTGATGTACCGTACACGTTTTCTTAGAATTAACCCACTAAATATACGCATTTTTTCCCGTTATAAGGTCAAGCCGCTACCGTGTTATCTTTACCAATACCTCGTGGTTTATTTATTTGGTCGGTTGAAACAGGTTCTCAACACCAGAATTATTAACTTCTAGTTTTTTTCTGTTTACAAAACATGCCAGTATGGATCCGACCTTCGTCGATTGAAGGAAAACTTTGACTCATACGTTTGGTTATGCATATTTTCTTTATGGAGTTGATAGTTACTGGTACATTTTAAATTTGTTTTGTATCGTCCTGTTGTGCGATAGGGTACTTTGATTCGGGGAAAATAATTTGAAGTCATCGCTAGTGAGGTAAATTTTATAGCATGAGATCGTGCCAGTTTTTATTCCAATCGGCAAGTCCTGGCTGCATGGAGATGTCACATAGCTATCGAGGAAACATTTAACGATTTTGATTCTGTCTAAATATACATGGAATTCTGCGGAAGTAAGGTTTTTTCTGTGTATCTGAATACATGTCTGAGTGACATCTTTCTTGCTTGAAAAATGACTTCAGAACCAACTTTGACTGATAGAAATAGTTAATATAAATCTGTCACTTTTGTATCGTGGAAAAGCTTACCATGGAAGTGAGGATTTTCAATCGTAACCGACTACTTGCAATTTTATCGAGCCATTTTAAGATTAAAATGAATAAGTTTTTCTCCGCCGTTGTTTTCTAGTTAAATTGTGTCGTTTAATTTCTGGATTGAGAGAATTTTTGATTAGCAAGCCGCTAACTGTCATTTACGATTGCACCTGTACGAGCCCAAGTCCTTTTTAAAAATATAGTTTAAATATGGGTCGCTCTTGTTGTGGTTTTTACGTCACGGCTGAATGAAAGTATATAGAATGGAAAAGTGTGAAGAGCTTTTAAAGATCCGTGCTTTTGTGACCAGGCCGGGAATCAGTCGGCGCTTTACAATCTCTCGTCTCGTCTCATCTTTGATGCTTGTCTGTCAAACGGTCCTCGTTTATTTGCTCTAGAATCATGAAACTGTTCATATTGCAATATTAATATTCATTCCAGGATTTGAAAAAAATCGAGATTTCTGGCCTAGTTTCGCTGATGGCAATTAGTGCAGAACGTTTCAGAGTCTAAATGGCGAGCTCTGCATCGGTAAAGTTCCAAATAAAAAATTATGTCCACTCATTTTGATGCTAAATTCTTCTAATTAAAATGGAACTTTACATTTTGGTTAGTCCCGGCGTATTAATCGAACTGTACACGAAATTTTCGATTTTTTCAGAGTTCTATAAAGGAGGGATTTTTGCAGAAACAAACAGGTTCATTTCAGGTGAGTAGAATTTTTGTGCTAAAGTTTGTGTCCAGCCTTAAAACTAATGCTAGCTAGCTTTGATAAAAAAGGGCAAATTTATTCTTGAAATTTTAAGTTGTTGTTTTTGTTTGCACATGTATATCAAAGAAAGATAATGAGAAATTTAAATATTACATCTAGAAGGTTGCTCCCAGTGTTCATTTAGCTATTTTGTGAGTGTAAAATATTGATTTGCTCACAAATAAGAACAGTGAAGGTTGAAAATGCCCAGTCTTTTAATAAAACATATTATAAAACTATGCAAACATGTAAAAATTGCAGTCTCTTTCTCTAACATTTTTTCTCCAGCTTTAGTTAATTATTTATATCAATTTGCCAAATTCAGATTTAAATCTCAATCCTAGGCTGTCTAGTTCAGAACACAATGAAATATTCGCCTGCTAAACAATTAAATATGTCATCATCGAGTTCTGCCCATATAACAGTGGAGTATTTTATCATTAAACTGAGAGTGGAATCAAACATGAAGCAAGTTAAACTAGAGAGGAAAAACCGTGTTGTTTTCTAAGTCAGTGAACAAACCATTGACTGAACAAACAAAGAGAGTGAAAAAAATTGAGTCAGATTTGAAGTTAAACATTTTTTTAAGAGGCAATGCAAAATTAATCAGAAGTGAAATGAACTCATTGAGTTCAGCAGACCATTAGGCATAAGAGTTTCTCAAACTCAGAATGAATTTTTTTTTATTTTTATCAAATTTTCCTCACAAGAATGAGCTTTCAGTTCACATAGATAATGCCTCATTAAAACATGCTTAGTGGTAAGTTAAGTAGCTTGCTATGCTCTCAAGGTGTTCACTGACAAGTACAAACAATTGCCGTATGCATAATTACAAAGCTAGGAAAAATAACAGAGAGAGAGAGAGATGTATTAGCTCTTTTTTGTTTTTGTTTTCTGGGCAGCTTGCCGTGCTAGAAATTTTTCTCGCAATTTCCTTTGACCACAATTTTGTTTTTTTTTGTTTGCCTGGATCCTTCTCAGGAATTTTCTGATGGTCCTTGCCTCAGATGGTTAAAAGAAATTAACAAAGATTTTTTTTCTCTCCATTTTTTAAAGTAAATGTTTACATGTGTGTAATTTTACATTCTTTTGTTATTTATAGTTGTTTGTGGCAAACTGTGTTATGCTAATGGACCTTGGTGGGGCTATTGCCAACTTGTTCTCAATGTTTACCATTGCCACTCCTGTAAATTGACAATGTTTTGTCTCAAGGGAGTCTTGATACCTATTTTGCAGATGTTTTTGTTTTTACCATTGTATCACTCACTATTTTGTTTTGCAACACGATTAACACTGTCATAGATTTCATACTTCAGTGGTTGTCACAGAAGATTACACCCTTTGTAATATATATAAACATTCATGTCGCACCTCAGTGGAATCATCAATATTATATCCAGTCCAAATGCATTCAGAATCAGTCTTTGAGACTGTTACACAATTATGGAGTCCTTGAAGAAAAGTTTGTCAGATACAGGAAAGTAAATGTTCTCTTAATGCTGTTCAGTAATTAGTAGACTTATCACAAATTTATGTAAGTTGTAGTTTGAAACTATTTCAGTTTAAAATGAATTCAACCTAGTGAGAATTGAAACCTGGAACAAAGAAAAAAAGCAAATGAAATTAATTTCAAATAAATTTGAATTGAAATTCATTTTAAACTACAGTGTATACATACATACAAGATTGTCGTTTAGGTTACCTTTGGAAGTGTTTCTTTTTTTTTTTATCAGTCTTTTAGTTTCAGCACTATTCATGTCTGTAATTCAGTTGATTGTAAATCCCTCCATTTTTCCCTTCATAAATTTGAAGAACTTCTCCCTTCCAGCCCAGGGATGGATTTAATAATTAAAAATGATTTTCTCTTTCTCCTTTTAACCCTTTAACTCCTAAGATCTCATTAGTAATTCTCCTTACTGTCTGCTATGTAATTCTTGTGATGTTACTTCAGAGAATTTAGTACTGGATCAACTAATAGTCCCTTAATATATATTGTTCTCTATTCTCATCACTTGTCTGCTTGATATTGTATTGATATTGTAAGGAGAAATTCTGTCTTAGTCACTTGTGGGAGTGAAAGGTTTAACCAAGGATCATAAGTTTACAGTTGTGCTTTCATAAGATTTGAAGTAGGATTTGTGACAAAAAATACTTGTCTTATAATATACTGCAGCAATATCTTTTGTGAAACAAGAAATATAACTGTTGTATTGTAAATGAAGAAGTAGATGTGGGTGTTATATTGAATGGCAGTGTTCTTCAGAGAAGTGGTGTTTTCTCAGGGTCCAATACATTGTTTTTTTAAATATGTGGAATGTATCTGGCTTTCTGCATGTGACATGAAGATGTTGGGGAAATTCCCCATTCTTTAGTTACTTGCATGCAACTGCACATTGTCCTTGATGAAAAATCTGTTATACTTGTCATTGTTGGTTTTTGGTAGGAATGATGTTTGTCTGCCTTTCATTCAAATTTCATGAACTTAGAAGAAAGTAGTAATTTTAGACCAATATTTTCTTTGTATGGACGTCATATCACTCATGCATTCTCTCTTCAGAGATGGAAAAGGAGATATTTCAAACTGAGAGAGGGAAACAAGCTATACTATGCCAAATCCAGTGATGTAAGTAGAATCATTCAGTTCTGTAGAGGAGACTTTAGGGCAGCCAGGGTCAGTTATTATTCCATTGTATGGTGGTTTTGTTTCTCATCTTTGCAATATATCCTATGGCTTTATATGAGCATCTTAGTGACCACGTGAAGGGTGTGTGATAGAAGAAAACATCAAAAATGAAAGCAATCATAGAAAAAATTTTATACCCTTAAGTTTTTCGCTGAAAAAGTGTTGCTTTGTATTTTTGTCCAGTTGATCTACTGCACAGCATAATTCCATTGCATGTTCTGCGTGTTCCATTGCTCTGATATGGTAGAATGGCATGATATAAAATAAATGATATATTGACGTTATGCTTGAGAGGATATTTACTGTAAGCTTTTATCATTTTTTTTAGGAAACACTATTCACTGAAATAGATCTACAGGACTTCAGCGTAGCTGAATCGAGCATTCAAAACAACAACAACTGTTTTAAAGTTAGTGAAATTTTGAAATTTAATATATTTTGATTAATTGAATCAGTTAGATTGTTGGTTGTTGGCAAAAGTGGGAGCTATTCCCATGAATTCATAGGTTATATTCCTCTTAATCAAAAAATGAGAATAGCCCATAAATAAGCTTTGGGTTCCTAAAATGCAGTATTTTTCAAGAATGTGCTTTCAGATTATTCAAGTTTTCATTTTTAAAATCAAAAGTCATGTACTGAAACACTGATAAAATGAAAATGAAAGTATTGCTATTGAACCGAAAAAGGTTAAAATTGAAACAGATTTATCACTTGTTGGCAAATTTCTGAGAAACAGTAAGAGTTATTTTTTCCAAAATTCTGTAACAATTACGCAATGTTATGTTAAAGTTTTTCATACATGATGTTCAGCGGTTTCATTTTCCTGCAGGTCATCACACCATTTCAAAGTATTAATCTTAGTGCTGATTCCAGAAAGGAAATGGAAGAATGGATAGGCTGTTTAAAGTCTGTTGGATCTCATACCTCTTCTGTAAGTATCTAAGTCAATTGATCTTTTCTTTAACAACACTATGAATTACACTGAAGCAGTCTCCTCTTTTGAAGGAATCTTTTGTCATGGAAACAAAAGCGTCTAAACCCACAGTTATCAGTTATTAATCATGTTTGTAGAATAATCATACCTAAACAAAGCATCTATCTGTGCGGCTCCATTTCACCATTCCTTTTATACCAGTTTTCCCAATGAGTACTATAGTGTAGTTATTAGTTTGCAGCTGCTAACAGGCCATAAATGATCTACTGTAAGCATGTTTAAGTGTTGTGTTGGGAGGTGATCTTAACTGATACATTTATATTTTTTGGTATTTTGGTTTTTAATGAAATATAGAAACTTGATGGTGATTAATAAATAGAGGAGCCTTGACTGTGCTCTGTTTTGTTGTAAAGCAGGCAGGAAGCTCCTTGTTTGTACCCTGATAGGGTATGCTTTTTCAACCAGTGATGACAAACTTGTATCCAAACTTTATTATAAATCAATTTATGTAATATTTTTGTTCAATCCACTGCACACAACACTATAATTTTTAATGTTGTGGTTTCAGGTTTCTTTACCTTGGTTCTTGTTGTAGTAATACTGACAATACTTTGAGACAGAGTACAAACTGACTTTTGTATTCCAACTGTGGCTTGATCTGTGACAATACCTTATCTGATGTTTACCTTCATTTTTTTTTTTAATTACTGCCTGTCTTGTTTATTCTGGCCAATGATTCAGGCCAGTATCTCGTGCACTTTTTAATTATTAACTCACTTTAGCCAATTGGAGTTTGCCTACAGAATGCATCTTTAGTCAATGAGAAGTTTACTTCTCTTAGACAAAATTGAAATGTTTTCTTTAAATATTATGTCTATCTGGATTCCTTAATGAGGCTTCTGTATTTTTTTTTTATTGCAGCAATCAGATTTGTTGGACAGATTATCTGGGGCTCACAATTGGTATTCATGTTCTCATGCAAAAGCTACATTCTGTAATGTTTGTCGTGATGTATTGTCTGGTGTTACATCAAAGGGATTGTCATGTGAAGGTGTGTAACTTGAGATATAAAGTATTAGCACTGTCATTTTCATCTCTTGGGTGTTAATGGCATCCACAGAGTGTAAATGCAGGAGGAAGGTGCATTTTTATCTTGATTGTCTTTAACCCTTAAACTCTGAAGATCCAGTTGTTAATTCTCCCTGCTAGATGCTAAACATTTTATAGTAAATTGTTTGCAAGAATTTGTTTTAGATGAAGTTTAACAAGGTTGAGTATTTTCTTTACCTGTGTGCTGGATAATGAATGAATATTATAGGGAGGAAAAAGGTTGAATCACTTCTGGAAGTTAAATGGTTCTGGGTATTTGACAAGCCAGTGAGAAATCATTAACGTGTTAATGATAGTTGTTTGCCCCCTTAAGAGATACAGATAGGCAAATAAAATTTTTCTTGTCAGTCATTAGGGAAATTAAGCTGAGAGAATTTACAATTATAGCAGGTGGAGGTTTTGAGTTTTTTTCTTAAGCAACTGCTGCAAATATTTTTCTAAATAGTTACGTTTAAAAGGTGAAAAATGATAAGCATCATTGACGTTATAAAAAGCAATAAGCACAAGAAGTACAGAGACCTATCCCATTTCCATTTTTATTAACCTCTCAAAAATGTCTCTGCTTAACCCTTTGATTCCCTAAGAGTGACAAGCATCTAACTTTGCCTAATACCATATCTCCCCAAAATCACAGGTTAAGGTTATGAAAATAAAGGAAATGATCACCAACTAGAGAAGCTCTTGATTGTGAAACAAATTCTCCTTCTCAGTACATTAAGAGATATAGAGAGGGCAGTTGGGAGAATATGCATACTTATGTTAGGGTGTAAATGGTTAAGTATCCTAATCAGTGACCTAAAGTGGAGCATTTAGATTTGACTTGTAAATTTGCAGTGATTAAAGTTAAATTTTTGGCTTTGAAATATTTCAATAAGGCATTCAAACTTGTCTGTATTTACATCCTTTGTAAAGATGTTCCATGTTGTTGTTAGATTTGGCATGGATAACTGGAAATAGGTCACTAAATCATTTTTCATTAATTTTTTATTTCTTAGTTTGTAGATTCAAAGTTCATCGAAGATGTGCTGTACGAGCAAGAAATAACTGTAAATGGACAACCGTACAGTCACTTAGAGGAGAAGAATGTAAATTTGATGAATCTGACCCTGTAAGTTAAATTCAATGATAGGAAAAGCTAACCAAAGCATACAAAAGCAAATTGTCTTACAAAGGATTATACATAAGAGCAAGCTTACCAGTACAGCATCTAATTTTTCTTAAGAAACATGAGTCATCTTTGAATTGATCTCTGTAGGAGTATTTGATAAATAAATGTAACTACATGTAGGCTAAAACAGGGTATGATAATTTTTTTTTAAAAACTTGATTTTATTTAAAATTTCGTAGTCAATTGTAATGCATTATGTAACTACTGTATACAACACTGTATACTTCGGGAAATTGACCATTTTCATTTTTATCATCTATGGGTTTTTTGTATGTGCAGTTCTTTATGCCTTTTGGCAGGTGAATGAATTATTTTTTTTTGCCATATAATGTTATCAGTGCTTTAATTTGATCATCTGTTTTATTGATGTGGGTCAGTTATTGTTTCAAAAATTGGTTCATTTTCTCATATATAGATAAAAACAAGTTGTAGTTGATTTGGGTCCTTAAATCTGTCATCGTTAACTTTCATTATTATTCCAGCTTTCAGTGCCTCATCAGTGGCTTGAAGGAAACCTTCCTCCCTCTGCTAAGTGTGGAGTGTGTGATGAAATATGTGGCAGTAAGAGAAGGCTTCAGGGATATAGATGCCTTTGGTGTAATTTAATGGTAGGCTGCTACACTTGCTTTTAATAAAATGCTTTGTACATCACTTAAAGGGGTGAGTTTCTGAGCTACTGTGGTGCTGCGTCAGTGGGGGGTATTACAAGATAGCGTGGTTGTATCAACCAAGTTGATAAATTAATGTTAGGTGGCTATTGTAAAGAGTTTCTAAGGCTGATATTTCGAGTGTTGGTCCTTTGTCAGAACGAAGTGCTAATGCTTTGACAAAGGGCTAACACTTGAAACATCTGTACAGCTATAGAAACTCTTTACTGTGGCCAATTAGCAGCATCAGCTCAGTTGTACATCAAATGGGGAACAAATGGGATGGTTTGAAAACCAGTAAAGGGGCCCAAACAGTTTGCAGTGTCCCTACTATTGAATAATTAAGTCAGTAATGTTGGAAGGTAGGTGGCATAATGTTATCAACACAAGAAGACTTCAGTCTCCCCAGGAGCGCACAGGTCACTATGGCAACTAATCCTCACTGCATACATCAAAGCATCTATCTACACAAGATTGATGAATGGGTGTGTGGAATGAGTACTCACCTTGAGTGGGGAAAGGAAGAAGGAAATATGTAACTAATTTGAGCAAAAACACATTGCAACACACCTGTAGGCCCCCCTGTATACCCCTGTACTGTTAGTTTTCCATTGATGCCCTTTCACTCCCAAGATCTCATCAGTAATTCTCCTTACTGTCTGCCAGCAATTTTTACAATTTTCAGAGAATTTGGTATTGGATCAACTAAAATTCCTAAGTGACATTTTTTGTGATTCTCATAAAGTGCCTGCTTGATATTGTAAGGAGAAATTCTGTCTTGATCACTCATGGTAGTTTAAGGGTTAAATGAACTTGAAAGTGATGGTTTTGCTTTTCAGGTTCACCAGTGCTGTCGATCTCAATCACCTCAATGTTCCTTTGGTGAAAATGCTTTGTTCACCTTACCTCCTTCTTCTGTTCTAAGTTCATCTGGCTCCCTTGTATGGAATGTAAGTGAAATATTTACCTTCAGACTCCAATATTATTTTAGCTTACTTCCTTCTCACATTTATGTTTCCTTACTCAGTAACGGGATTATTTTTGTAGTATTATTTGATAAATTGGTTGATTACCATTAGCCTTGTGTGGGATAATGTTTTTATTGTGTAAAGAAATGTTTCATCTTAATTGCTTGACCATTAGTTAAAGAGATTCAAGAGTCCAAACTCTTTTCAAGCTACATTGTACTCATAGCAGCATGTGGCAGTTCTTTTTTTTTTTTTTCATGTCAAGGAAAAGATGACCCTCTTTCCTAATTGATTGTTTTTGTTGTCATTACTGTTATGCTCTCATTATTGTTAATTATAATCATCACCTTTGTTATTCTTACTGTCTTTGCCTTTATTACTATAATTTTCATTTTTTTTTTCACTATTATAACTATTATAAATTGCTACTTTTCACTTGAATTCTTAGTCTGTTAAACTTTCCGCGTGTCTTCCAATGCTTGTTTTTTTCAATTTGACTACTTTTACTATTATTTTCATTTTTGTTGTTACTGTTATAACTATTATAAATTGCTACTTTTCATTTGAATTCCTAGTCTGTTAAACCTTCTGGGTGTCTTCCGATGCTTGTCTTTGTTAATTCAAAAAGTGGTGATAATCAGGTTCGTAATTGTTTTTACACTGGACCATGCTATAAAATATCCACTTAATTTCGTACTTCCTGTTGTCTGATGTACATATTGATGACATTTAAGAATCTCCATTGGTTGCAGGCAGGTTGCTCCTGTAGGGAGTCTTACACTGTCTACTGTTGCACTGGCTTTTTTCCACTCTAGGGTCTATTATTATTATTATTATTATTGCAAATTATCAGTTATTTCTGTGGCTTGAAATGCAATATAGGACTCTCTCTCCTTATTTATGTTACTCTTCAATACAGATGTTCCTTTTTTACGCAAACTAATATACTCCGTCAACACCAATGTTGCTAGATTTTAGATATATGAAAATTCATATATTTGCACTGCGGTGGAGAAATGAAATTAAGAGATCCTCGCAGCTAAGAACACTACTGAAACGAGTAGTTGTAAATAGGACCTGAAAAAAAAAATTCAGGCCCGTACGGGATTTGAACCCATGACCTCTGCGATACCGGTGCAGCGCTCTACCAATTGAGCTAACAAGCCAACTGGGAGCTGGTCAATGATAACAAATCCATCTTAGAAGTAATAAAAAGCTGACGAAACCATTCTGAAAAATAATGCCTTGCCTATTGATCTTAACCATATTCATGTTTATTTATTAATTTTGATAATTCTTTTTTTCTTTTTAGGGTGTAAAGTTTATTAGAAGATTTAAACAGTTATTAAATCCACTTCAAGTGTTTGATCTTGCTCTTGGAGGCCCCTCCAAAGGGTAAGTGATACGTTCAATGAAGCAAAGTTTTAAATGTGTGTGAGAGAAGTCAAGTATGTGTGAGAGACAGCCATGTGGTTAGGGCATAGGACTCCAGATCGAAAAACTGTAAGTTCAAGCTCTGGTTGGTGTCACTGTGTAATTTTCTTGTACATGTGCAAGACACTTTTTATTCTCACAGGGGTGTCACTTTAACCAGGAGTATGGCAAAGTGTTCGAGAAATTAGATTAATTGTTGACGGATAACCTACCGTGAGGTAGCATCCCGTTTCAGAGGAATCGCAATACTCCTTCTTGCGCCTGCTTCAAGCCAGAGCAAGTTGTATCAGTTACCTGCAAGGCGATTTTTTATGTAAAAGTTGTGTGAACAAAAATTTAAACTTCCATGCAATTTCTTTATTGTCAGATTGAAGTTGTTCCAAAATTTTGACCATTTTCGAATACTGGTGTGCGGAGGTGACGGCTCTGTTGGGTGGGTGATGAATGAAGTCGACCGGATGAATCTCTCAACTCAGGTAGAAATTTTCTTTATTCTCGCCATCTCTTTTCTTGATAATGCGTCGACATTGTAAGGAGGCGTAGCGTATTTAATATCACCTCTGAAGGTTTGATGTCAAATCTAAAACCGGCCAATCATCAATACAAATTCTCTGCAATTGTCTCGAAAGATGATTCGCATTTTAAATTTGTTTTCACTAAGAAAGCAAAGGATATCCTTTCATTGATGCATTCTCTCGTTCACAGTGTCAACTTGGTGTTTTACCGCTGGGTACTGGAAATGATTTGTCGAGGGTTCTTGGCTGGGGAACCTCGTTTGATGACGACACTGCGGTAACGCAGTTTCTGCGCCATTTGGAAAGGGCCAAAGCAGCAGTACTTGATAGGTGAGTGAAAAAAAAATGTGCTTGATCTGTTGCTAGGTTTAATTAAATTTTTTAGCAGGACTGCCGCAAGTTTTACCAAGGGGACCCTCCTCCGTGGCTTACAGAAGGGATTTCCCTTGATTGTCGTAAAACTAAAACCAAGTCCAATCGGATAAAGGAAATACTGAATATCTTTAGGAATTCAACGAGAACCAGTGAATTTGCGTTAACTGCCACAGTCACGGGAAATGCAAGTAACCAAGTCGTGATTGGTTTTACTTTTGCATTCGTTTGGTTGGGACATTTATGCATTTTTTTCTCGAACAAAGCACGACCTCTACAATCCCAGATTGCTTTCTGATTCAACGCTGATTTGAAATTTTTTTGAAGCTTCCACTTAATAACCAGCAGCTGATGAGTACAATTACTCGCATCAAAATGAAATTGATGTCTATACTTTTATCTTTACAGATGGAGTATAATGGTTGAAGAGAAACCCTTATCCGCGTCTAGAAGTTCATCGATAGAAACATTAGATATACCTGTAAGTCTTTGATTTAGTTTACAAAGCTGTATGCAAAGGGGAAGGCGTGTGTGATGCCATTTTGTTGAATCATAACTTTGGATGAGACAGCGGCGAAATTTTACAGATTTAGTAATTCTCCCTAAAGCTTCGGTACATTTCGTAGCTTCTCACCTAAGATAATGTAGTGTTGTATTAAGATTATAGCCTGTAGCTGAAAAGTTTGTGTATTCTCATCACCCGCTGGCTGGATAATGTTTTATTTCATAAGGAGAAGTCACATGAAAACTATCACCTCCCAGAATGATAAATAGAGTGACAGTTTTCTTCTCTTCCGTTTTTTAGTACAAACATGATGTCGACATCATCGACACGTTCGAGAACAACGTGGCAACACACTTAACAAGAATACTACATTCCAGCGATCACTCTGTGGTCATCTCTTCTGCAAGGTAGAAATGTTTTGTGAACGTGTTAAGCTTCATGGTTGCACAATCTGTAATTTTCCCCCAAACCTTTGGAACAAATCTAAGAAAGTCGGTAAATAGCGACTAACGCAAAAAGTGCTGTTCGTAAGCCGGTGTAAACTACTCTGCGTTGACCTCACCGAGGTGCACTTCAGGGTCTGATAAATTACCTGTGAAAAAAAGTAGTTAATTTTACTCTCTGGACTGCCTAGAAAACCTTTAGGAGTTCCTGGGTGGAATATAAATAGTTTAGGAATACAGATGGCAAGAGATCTGAAACTCAGGCTCTGGAGGTGCAAGCTAATAATTTTATTCTAAAATTACACGATATTTAAGTGTCTTGCCCAAGAACACGACCCATCGACCCAACCAGGGCTAGAGCCGAGACTTCTTCAAATTCTCTATGAAAGTAAAGATAAGTTACTCGAAAAAGAAGAATACGTAGTAAAATCTACATATCAGTCTCGGTTGATCGCCATGATTGTTTCTGTGTTAGAGTGCTGTGCGAGACGGTGAAGGATTTTGTGTCAAAAATTGGAACAGCGTCAGCAAATTCTGATCCCTCTGAAGCAGACGAGCCCGACTCATTGGCACAAAAGGTTGGTAATCTTGATTGACATCGCGTTCTTCACTTCAAGTCAGCGATTCTTTGCTTTAGTCGAAAACAATATTTCATTATCATTCAAATATTTCATTCATGCTCTCTTCTGTGGAAGAGAGCATGATAGCACCCTATAGCACCCGTCACACTGAGGCCAGAAGCCCAGTGGAAGTAAAATGCAAAAACCCCTGAAACAAGATAAAAAAAATTTTAAAAATTAAAAAAAAATCCCGGGAAGGAGGGAGAGACCTTAAGCCAAGAAAGCGGAGGAAGGGAGGGGAACCTAGAGAAACGTTACGCTACTAGAACGCCACGCCACGCCACGCTAACAAACTTCGATATCGTCGTTAACTACATTAAATATGATTTGATAGTATCAAAAATTTCGGATCAGTATCAGTATCAGTATCTGGGCAACTGCCCACCTACCCCTTCCCTAACTCAACAACAGTCAATTGATAACAAGTTAGGGTTAATGTTGCGTTAGGGGAGGGGTAGGTGGGCAGTTGCCCAGATACTGATATTGATCCAAAATTTCTTGCTCTGTGTGCCATACATTTCTGATTATTTTAGTTGGTCATCAGACCCTTATTCCTCTGTAGACATCTTCTTTTGCACTTACAAGGATTATTCATTTAACAACCAAAGCTTCTTAGGTTGGCGATCATTTCCTTTTTCTAATGAGTTAAATAATTGATTCAGCATTTCGAATGTAAGGATAAATTAGATTTTGGTCACTCATGTAGTTTTGAAAGGTCAAGGGTCACTCTCAAGGGTGATAGTGTTGGGCGTTGAAAAGATTCTTTTTTCTCCATGTCTCAACTGGACAATGAACACTGCTGAAGGCTTGTTGTCTTGAATTTAGAAGGACCACTGGCACTCATTTCCTGGCCGATTTATTTATTCTTTTTTCTATTTGCCTTTAAGTGCACGATACTCAATGAAAAGTTAAACCTTCTCCTCAACACACTGAGTATAGAGTCAGAGGCCCTACCCTCCTCCTCAAGGGAGGAATTGTCATCAGAGGGCGCAGGGATGGCTGGGAATGGAAACGGAAGACAGAAAGTATTCGTACCCAAGGAAGCTCTGATGTCGAGAGCGAACAGCTTAAAAAAAGCTCTCAAACAAATTATAGAGCACGCAGAACAAGGTATGAGTAAGTCACGATAACAGATAGCAGTGACATCCTTTCAATAGGACCATCACCACGCAATGAAAATGAAGTCGCAGTATGGCCAGTTTTTCTCTGAAGTTTGAAATAAATGCGGGTTTACATTACTGTTAATTTATTTTGGTCACCCTCCGATTGGTCTAAAATTGTCACGCAACCTCTTCCTCAAACTAATTACATGCGAAGCTCATCGCAACTTAATTATCCTGGCTCTTCAGGCGTTCGTGGGCTCCCTGTGATTTTACTCTTCGTTCGTTGTGGATTTTTGGTTGTTATTGTATGAAAGCCATTCGAGACGCGCGCTAACAGGGTGATAACATTAACAACGTTGCAAACTAAGAAATAAGTGGACTTTTGAATCGTTCGGTGGACAAATATGTGGTTTGGCTCTTTTTCTTAAGATCTTTGCATTAAAACGATCATCATATTTTATCCTAGCTGTGGACGAGCAGAATGCTCAGACCAGAGCGTCGACAAGCTCCCTAGCGGAGGCCATTGTAACTGTGGCCGCATCGGCAGCCGGGGGAGTGGTGACTACTTCTACAGCTACCATGGAAGAAGGATCGGAACTTGTGCGAGGTTTGTTTAATAAAATGACGACAATAACAAAAAGGGGCCCCGCTTGAAATGAATTACAGATACGATAAAGTAGTCTACATAGTGACATGCAGTTGCGTTACGATGATTTAATACGCCAAACTCATGATCTCAAATCATCAATGCCATCCGGCACAGAGAAAGATACTTATTTCACCTTGCACAAACGGCTTAAAAACGTGGACTAAAAGAAAACTGCTCTTGTCTTTGGTAAATGGTTGTCTGATATTCTGCTTGTTGTCGTTTCAGATAACGAAGGGAACATCCTGGCCACCGGAGGAGATCCCTCGGGGGATGTATTTACTCCGGAGTCTGGTTCGAGTTCCCAGGACAATAGACTTATCGAAGCTGACCCCAGTCCTTCCACCTGGGTTTCCTCTGAGCAACGCAAGTCTCCGATATCTCGTTGCATCAGCCGGGGTAGCGCGCTTCCGTTCAGTTTTGAGTCACCATTTGACGAAAAGCTTTTCGCAGCAGGTGGCAAACCAACGGTCCACATTGGTGGTTGTATGATCTCCAGAGCATTCCTCAAGGAGAAACCCAGTGAAGGATTAATGGGAGCGATTGGTCGAGCATTGCTGGCCAATGCAGATGCACTGTGTGCCGCAGCCACGCCTATGATGAACAATGTGTTTGACGTGTAAGTTGACACTGTTGCCAATTTGCATTTGTCGGGACTGGCCCGTCGCACTTTACTGTCCTATTCACAATTGGAACTGTCCTGCTCATAGACCTGACATAGCCGATAGCGGCGGAACTGACCTTGTTCTTCGAGTAGAACTGCACGGTTTTGTTTTCACACTTCCGCGTGGACAACAAGCAAAATGCGCAGGCGATAGAGAGGAGATTATCTTTCGTGCTCGCTCTGCTCCGTTGTAGTCTTGAATGTTCCATGTCTGACCGGAATTTGTTATGTTCGCTGGAGGCCTGTGTACCTCTCAGTCTGAATTTTAAACTTTTCAGGAGTAGATGAGTCAAAATGTCTGATAGTTATATTAAAAAATTATATAATATTTCAGTGTAAAAAGTGCTTATTTATTGGCTAATTCTTCGCTGCTTTATAGTGAGGGATATACGGAGAAATGTGTAATGAACAACTACTTTGGAATTGGACTGGACGCTAAGATTGCACTGGATTTTCACACCAGAAGAGAGGAGCATCCCGAAAAATTCAGGTTGGCAATCGCTCGGAGTTTTAACCTTGCTGGTCTTTCAACTCACGACAAGTTCCTTCATACCTTAAATTCTTGCCATGTGAGGGTATGACGACTGACCATGATTGTGCTCAACTTAGAGAGGTGGTGACTCATTCTTTTTAGTGTCTATTTACCATCTTTTTGTCTCATTTATTTTTCTGTCGTAGGCACCGAGCGTTAAATTTACTATACTATGGCTTGTTGGGGGGAAGAGAGCTCTTGCAGAGAACACACAAGAACTTAGATCAAAGGGTGAGACTTGAGGTAAGAAGAAAGCTTTTTCAATTCACGATGTGCAGCAATTTTATGTTGTCATATTCCCTCAGATTTTCTTGGTTGGTTGAGGAGTGATAAGTAAAGCAGTGCTCTGCTTTTGAATTTCCTGTGTGACACTAACTTAGCTGCCGTATGAACAATGAAATTTTGAAGCTTTGATGATTAGGGCTCCCATAACAGTCCTTACTTAATGAAGATACCTCTTCCAACACTTTTCTTGTTAGAATTCGAGATCGCTTCTTCTTCTTCTCCTCCTGACCAGTATTCAGTGAGAGCAATTTTCAAATGAGTGTCGAAAGTAATCCGAGATTGTATTGGTTGTCCTTTTCTTTGCTCTATGATTGGGTTAGGAAACTCGCGTCACACTCTCAACCAGTCAGATGCAAAACTAAAACCAATCCCGATTTGGTCGCCCGCGTTTTCCCGCGCTTTAGGCTGATTGGTTGTTCGTACTTTGAGTTCTCATTGGGTCTTAGAGTTATTTTCCTTTCTTTTGATTGGCTGTTGCGATTCATTGGTTTTTTTATACGACACTCAATCGAAAAGCGTTCGTTACTGATGACCTGTTTTTTTTACTTTTATACTCAGTGCGACGGACACAAAATCAATCTTCCAAGTCTTCAAGGAATTGTGGTGTTAAATATAACAAGGTAAGGGGTTCAGAACCTTTCATTCAACAAAAGCGAAAAGCTTGGTGAGATTTATCTTGATTCTAGTGGAGTTTAGAGGGAATGGAGAGTTGTTACCACAAAATACGTAACTCAAGTCAAAAACACTCCGCAAGTAAGATTCTTGCGGTTAAAAGCCTCTTGCGAAAGGTGCTCTAAATGATTTTTATCAAGCTCTTTCAAAATGGAAATATTTTTTATCTAACCATGTAATTTGTTTTTCATTTCAATGATTCCAATTCTAAAATTTCAATCATTGTAGAATAACCATGAAGTTTACAGTGTCCTAGTTCCTTTAATTTCTTCGTGGTATCAGAATTAGATGCTTTGGAAGGAAAAATTCAACTCGAAATCAAGGCCTTTCGAATTTTTTTCTATGTGACATAAGGGAAATCCACTAATCCCTCCCCCCCTTCTCCTTCCGGCGGCAAATAACGACCGATTTCGTAGAATAAATTTGCACTACTAGTTATTCAAGTTTAACCTGTTTTTCTTCTTTCTCTACAGTTATATGGGTGGTGCGAACTTCTGGGGAACAGGGCGAGATGACGTAAGTGCTTATTCTTTACCTCATTGGATATTTGGACAAAATTCAACCTCTTTTCTTTTATACCTTAACACGAATATTGCTGTTAAATGTTTCAGGGTTTTAACGAGCCTTCTGTTGACGACAACATCCTTGAAGTTGTGGCAGTTCTTGGTGCACACCAGATGGTATGGTTATACAGATACCTGATATCAGATTCGTTAGTCTATGTGGTTCTCTTAAGTGCTTACTCTCGATCAAGACAATTTTTGTAGTCGTGTTTGACCATACTTAATGTCAATAGAGGTAATTTTCATTCTCTTTGTCGCAGGGAATGTGTAAAGTTTTTGGAGGTATGCCACATCACCGGATCGCACAGGTAAGTTTGTGTGAAAGGATGAGCAAGCTCCTAAAACCATGCAATTTTTTGTTGTCGCTATCAAAAATACATGGACTCGAGTTTCGAAATTCCACAGAGTAACCCCGCCACAACCTTTCGAAAATTATCTTCAACTATGGAGGCCGGCATTTTGACTTAAGAATTCATGGCTTTACTCATGGACCCTGCTAAATTTCCCCTTCATTCCCTGAACTTCCTTCATTTGTAAACCCCCTTACTCTTAATGCTCGATTTGCTTCCAGTGTCGGACTGTAAAAATCTCCATATTTGGTGAATCAGTGCCAGTTCAGGTGGACGGCGAGGCCTGGATGCAACCTCCGGGATATATCAAAATCGTCCACAAAAACCGAGCACAGATGTTGGTCAGAGACAGAGTAAGATTTTTGGTTTCGTACTAAAGAGGTTATTTCACCGCATGTACAGCCGTAGGAATAAAGCTTAAACCCTTTTCTCCCAGGATCTGATCGCTCATACTCCTCCCCATCCCCCTCTACACATTTCCTGGCAAATTAGTTACGAGAATTTGATTTTAATATGCATGAGTAAATTTTTCAGTAAATTTCACGAGCCCGTAGGGCAAGTGCAATTCGTAGTCTTTGGTAAATTTTAGAAGTGCTTATTACACCAAACTGCGAAAGAAATCGTGTTATAACTTGGTAATAATATACATTAAAAAACATTACAGATAGTCAAGACAGACGAAATTTTTAAAGCGTGCTGGCGCTATTTGTAATTTGCACTCGCGTTACGTGGGAATGCTCTCGTTTTCAGCCAATCAGAAGTGTGTAATTTTTCATGTACATCATCAGATCAGGATAACTTCTACCTAATAAGTTTAATTACTCTCATTACACGAAAACGAGGCATGGGCAAGCTCACTTGCCCGTGCCTTGTTTTCACATTGAGGCGTGTTGCATAGATTAGTTTGTTTTATATTTTAAAAAGGCGTCTAAAAGAAAAATGCACTAAATTTCAATAAAACGGTTGTTTTTTTGGGGTTTCGTTCTCGAATGAAAGGATTGATTTGATGACATTTGAAACTGTGTGTTTCATTTTGCAGGAATTCGAGTTAACATTAAAAGAATGGACAGAACTCCAAGCGGAGAAGATCAGTCCCTGTGTAACGAATGCTCAGGCAGAAGTGCTGACCTCCCTCGTTCAGTGTCTCAGTATTTTTGTCAATTGGTAAGGACACGGACGTGATGTGATCTCTATGTTTCATTTACATCTCGCTTCACATCCCAAGGATTTTCATAGCAAAGCCTATCGTAAAATCTTTTCTTTGGTTGGAAAAAGATTGTCTTGATCTCTTTCAAAATACTTCCCCGTATCCGAAAGTCTCTCTGCTAAAAAAAGGAAACCAGTGGACGCGCAAGGGAGCAATGGAATGCATTTGACGGAGTGGCTTTCTTGTTCCCATGATTCCCCGCCTCTCGCTCGTTATCAGTCCCCGAGTGGAGTGTCTTCGAGGCGTTTTTGGAGGACTTAAAATTTTTCAAAGTTAATTTTTGACTACCCGAAATGCTCCCTTCTCTTAATCCTTTTCTCTTTCCCGGTGGGATATCATTCTTGTCATATGCGAACTCCGTGCCAAGATAGTTCGTGTGACCTGAGAGGTTATTTATCTAACTCAGGAGCCTTTTGGGAAGAAAAAAACAAAAACAAAAAACAGGATTTGAGCCGTCCTTCGTTCCATTTTTTTTCTTTTTTTATGTCAGCGTGAAAACCACGTGTGAACCGCATGAAAAGGATCTTCGAGAGTTAATTACCTTGGCGGAATCTTGTGCTAGCTCCTTAGAAAAACTCGTGCTGGATGGCGGAAAAATTCCCGAGGTGAGTTTACGAATCTTTTTACACAGAGCTTCGTAAGTGGCTGCAGTTGTTTTTAACAGACGCTGAGCTCTATGATATTATATCATATTTTACCCAAAACAGGTTTATTTGTTTTCCTTATAAAGTTAACATTGTTTGCTGGCTCAAAAAACCTTAATTCCTAACGGTAAGACTGTGTGGCCGGGGTACAATTCAGGGTGTAATCGAACGAGTGATTTCAAATTGGCCGAGCGCGTAGCGTGAGGCAAGTTTGAAATTACGAGTTTGGACTTTGAAACAGCCAATTAAGCCAAAAATAGGGGCTGTTAGGAATCACTCTAGTCGAGCATCCTGTTATTGACACAGTTCAAATGTTTAATTCGTTGCTTTTAAACCCAGGCCCCAAGTCGAGGTCGTATTACAGATCTTGTGACGACCGGGAGGGCATTGGTTCAATCGATAACTTATTTCCTCCAGTTCGAGTTTCCAGCTCTTGAACCAGTAAGTATTTCTTTTTTGATAAATATTTTAATATAATCCGGGTAGAGTTCTGTCTAGTAACCGGGAGGACCGTTATAAGGAGACAGTATTTGGCTGGAAATAAATACTTTTTTGGCGCCAAAGCGGTAAAGTCGTGTGGTAAAACAAACCATTCTACATTTTGCTAATGACATTTGACCAGTTCTCTTGGATAGTCACACTCACGGATTTTATATTGGGACTGAGTTGGTAGAACCCAGTTATGAGTAACATCAACAATATCATACAGAAATCTATCTTTGAAGCTTTTTAAGTTTAAGGGTTTTCGTTCTCGCTCTTCTTGAAAGTTACGCTTTTTTAACCTTAAATTTGAAAAGGAAGGAAAGAGGCGAGAAATTTCCAGGAAATAAATGCTTTCCTGACTTACTTTGTGTGTATTTATTTCCTTTGTGGGAGACTGGGTGGGTTGGTCATGAACGCGCTAGACTCCTGAGCGAGAGGTTTAGGTTCGAGCCCTCGTTGGGTCATGATGTGGTGTGATCTTTGGCAAGGCTCTTGAGCGTTCACAGTGCCACGCTGGATACAGGATATCGTTGGGTATTGTTGAACTTTGAGAGGACTCATTCTTGCGGGGGGTAGGGGGTGACCTGGTGAAGGGTGAGCGGGTGGGGGCTGGGGGATGGGGGTGGCCGCGTGGACTGGTTAGGGTGACCGGACGGGGGGGGGGGGGGG